GCACAGCCAGAATATGGAAAAAGCTTCTCGCATGGCAATGCTTGCTTCGCAGGCCAGGTTCTGTTCTGCTGATAAATTTGGCATGACATCTTGAAATAATACCTTGTTTTGACAAACAAAGATCTGTATCTGTAACAAAAAGGGTGTTGTACAAAAAAACTGTTCACTTAGTAGCGATAAAACAAAACCTTAGGTTCATATTATTTAATGTACTGCATTGCCACTTACAGTTTTTCAAGCTTTAAATTTCCAAAATAATTTTTGTCTGCCTAACTGGATCAAGAAATTGGGATTCCATTGTTCATTTTAGTTAATGTGTACTCAAATTCATCACATTTGCTAACAAGGACACTATCAGCTTGAATCACAGACAGGCCATAACAAGTGTTGACATGTTCCTTGATTAAATTATGCATATTGTCTCTAGATCAATAAGATGATTGTGACTGTGGCTGTTGGTAAGGTCGGTCATACTGGTGCCCATATCTCTCCTGCCAGTTGTACCGATCTTGCCTGTCCTGTTTTTCTGGCCTGTCTTGTCGATCATAATGCTGCTGGTTTTGTCGACGATAGCTGCCTTGACCTGGAAATTAGTAGAGAGTGGGTAAGGCAAGCATTAAAAGATTGAAAAGCCTTTCTAAAATACTCATTGAGTAATACGGGTTATGCCTTTTGCACTAACAGTCTCCATTTAAATGGAAATAACACTGGCCCAGACAGGGGTCTTGCCTTTCCCAAGCCTTTTGTCACACTAGTGAACTGTTCACAGGCAAAGTAATCAAACATTAAGCACCTTACGTAGAATTAGTGTGAGAGACACCTGTAAAGCACATACAATACACATTTATTTGCGAGTTTTCCCAAGAGGAAAAGAAGTACTCTGAAGTTCATACCTTGCCTGTCCTTGAACTGAACAAATCCTCCATGTCTTGTGTCATAAATACGCTCATTGTTTTCTACCAAAGTGCTGACCTGAAAACAAGTCGTAAACACTCTGTATTAAAGTTGTTTGATAAGCTGTAAGTTGAAAAGCTAACAGAAGGGGTTTCATTAATCTTTTCAACAGGAGGGTAACTGGTTTTCACAGGTGGGCAAAACTATTTGATCTGAAATTCTTTATAAGAAATACTTTCCACTAGGTGATCAAACCAGCAGGTCAAAATAGTCTTCACAGCTGGTCAATTTGCTGGTGCCC